AGGTGGACGGGGGGAGGGATCGATGGGGGGAAGGTGGGTACACAGCGAAGGACGGGCCAGAGGGGTCACCCAAAAAAGGCGGAGGCTCTCGCCGGGGCAGGATTGCGCATGCGCGCGACGTGCGCACACAAGGGATCCGTGTGAACCATCCTAGTGGTCGACCCAGGTCCGGCGGGAGGCGACGATCGGTGCTCACGTCCTCGCCCGTGCGCGCCCCCCGAGGGGGATCTCTGCCCCCGCCCCCGACGCATGCTCCTGTCCCAGGGGGAGGCTCCCTGGGGGCTCGGCCCCCCACCGCCGGCCGCAGGCATATCCCGCCGACACACACCCCCTCTGCCCGGCTCGGTGGGCCAATCTCGCGGGGAGAAGCACCCGGGCGACATCGACGGCCAAAGGAAAGGAAGGGCGCCGAGCGAGCGAGCAGGCACCGCCGCGCAGGGCGGCCGGCGGACACGGCCATCCCCGCGGGGGTGGACAAGGGCGGGGGGCGAGGGGGGGGGGGGGGCAATCCACGGAGGCACGCCGGCGGCCCGGCCGCTGGTCATGGTTTTTCCGCTGCGTGCGCGCGGGCCATGTCACGCGGTACCGGGCTACGCGCGATAGCCAGGCGCCCTCGATAGCCGGAGCTTCGTCGCCGGTGGAATGCTGTTTGGTGGTGGCCTCGGTTACGCTCGTCGGCCACAGACCGCCCGCCACCGGCGTCGGCTAACGGGGAAGCAAACGTCGACGGCGCCCAAAAGGGCTACGTGCATAATCCCGACGTCTGGTTTGAGGGCGTTTGCGGATGCACGCGTTCACCCGGCCCATGGCGAACACCCACACGAGGGGGTGAATTTCCATCAGGGGGAACGACTGGGTCCGGGCAACTGTTTGCGTCGAGAGACCCGAGGCGCGGGGGGCCACAGGCCGGCCGCCCGGGCGTGCGCGCGCGCGCGAAGCCACACACGCTCGCCGCCCCCCCCCCCCCCCCCCCCCCCCCCCCCCCCCCCCCCCCCCCCCCCCCCCCCCCCCCCCCCCCCCCCCCCCCCCCCGGCCCGCATGGCCTGCAAGGCCAGTGCCTCCTCGCCCGGCCCCGCCCCCCTCTGGCGACGCTCGCTTCCGGGGGGCGGGGGGGGGGACGAGGAGGAAGACTCTCGCGGCCCAGGGTTGGCTAGTGCCCAGGCCATTGACTTCCGCCGGACCGTGCGCGTCGGTGAGGTCCTCACCTCCTCGGCCAAGATCGTCTTTGCCGCGAAGCCACCCCCCCCCCCCCCCCCCCCCCCCCCCCCGGGAGCGAAGCAGCCTTTATTTATGCCTCGGGGGCAGACCCTCTCCTATGGGCGGCCGGCCCGGCGGGACCCGCACGAAGGCACGCCACGGCGTTCTCCCACGCCCTCCTCCCCGGGGCCAAGTCACGGAACAGCTGGGGCACGGCCGGCCGCCTCCGAGAGCGCATGCCCCCATTCCTTCGGGCTCGCCGGGCAGGCCCGGCCCCTCCCGGGCGGGGGGTGGGGGGGGGGGGGGCGCGCGCGCGGAGGACATGTCGTTACGGGCGTTACGCGCCGGCCGGGCCCAGGGTTTGGGGGAGAGCCCTGGGAGCGGACGCCAGGCCCCAGGCCCCTGCCCGCCATATCGCGGGACCTGCCAATGGAGGCCCGGGGTGTCTCACTCGGAGCCAGGCCGTTGGCGTCTAAGAGCGTGCGCACGCGCGCCGGCGCGCCTGTGTGCGTGTGCGTGTGTGGCCGCGAAAAAAAGGGCGGGGGGGGGAGGGCGGGGGGTGGCCCGTTGGCGAGTGGCCGGGCGGCCGAGCGAGCGACCGGCCACCGTGAGGGGCCGGCTCTGGGCCGCCGGCAGGGAGGACGGGCGCGCGGGGCGCGCCCACGGCACATCGCCGCCCCCGCCACACCCCCTGCAGCCCGAGGGCCGGGAGGGGCACATGAAGCGACACCGATGGAGACCTGGACGCATGCACGCGCGCGCAGCCACCACCATAGCGGACGTCTTTGCCGGGGGAGAGGATGCGCGGAGCTGGCGAGTATCGCGGCAGCTCGCGGGCGGAGGGTATATTGTTCGGAGGGAAGGCCGGCGGCGCGGCCCCCCCCCCAAGAGGGCAGGCCCGGAAGAGGAAGACAGGGGGCAGGCGAGGGTGGAGGAAGGAGGGAGAGGGGGGGGGGGGGACAAAAATACAGAAGAACACTCACACACCAGCCTCGGTCGAGCCAGACGGCTGCAGCGACTGGGAACTGGAGGTCGCCGCGGCCGGCAGGTACTTGCCGGGCGCTTGGTGGTGGTGGTGATGGTGGTGGTGCAGGTGCAGGTGCAGGTGTGCAGCCGAGAAGGCCTGGAAGGTGGCTCGGTTGCCGGCCGGGAGCTCGCGCAGGGCGGCGGCCGCCGATGCGTTGGGCCCGGCGGCCACCACGGCCGCCTTCGGCAGGCCGGGACTCCCGCGACCGGCTTCGGCCCCGGCGCGCAGGAGAACCGCCCGACGGAGGGCATCCTCGCCCGGGCCGCCGGCGCCCGGCGACAGCCCGGCCGGCGGCGAGAGCAGCCCCACGCGCGAGAAGGGCCGCGCATTTTCGTCGTTCTGCCCGCCGGCCAGGGCCCCGGCCTCGGCCGGGTACATGACCAGCGGCCCGCCGCGCATGGACCCCGGCCGCGACAGGAGCACCGGACTGGAGGACCCGCCGCCGCCGCCGCCGCCGCTCGGTCCGCCGCCGGTTGAGGAGTAGCCACCCCCGGCGGCCGACGAAGAGGCCGACGCCCCGCGCGAGCTCGGCCCCGAGGAAGGCCCCCCCTCGGTGGGCAGGTGGTGGAGGAAGGCGTGCAGCGGCGACCCGCTGCCGAGCATGGCCTGGCGCGGGGGCTGCTCCAGAGGCAGCGGCGTGAAGGGCCGCCGGATGCCGGATCCCGAGAGCGGCGGCGAGCCCGACGCCCCGGCGGACCCCGGGGCCAGCGGGCCGAGGGCCGTGCCCGGCGGCGACCGCGCCGCCGCCAGCGCCAACGCCATGCTGGAACCCGGGCGGAGGCTGGCCGTGGTCGGCCCGGGCGTGGCCGTGGTGGACGTCGGCGTCGGCGTCGCCGTCGTCGTCGCCGCCGCCGCCGCCGCCGCCGCCGAGCACAGGCGCAAACGCTTCGGCGCGGAGCCCAGCAGGAAAAGGCGCTCGGCCGGGCTGCCAGCGGGGATTCCCGTGACCTGGCCCGCCGGACCGGCCGGCGCTGGCGAGTCGAAGTTCAGCACCCGACGCACGTTGGGGAAGATGCGCGGCCCGGGGCCGGGGGAGAGCGGGTGCTCCGGCCCCGGGCCGTCGCCGGCGGCGGCGGCGGCGGCCCCGGCTCCCGGGGGGGCTCGGGGACTCCGCCCATCCGGCGAGTCCCGTGGCCCGGGGGTCCCGAGCAGGCTATCGGCCGCCAGCCGGCGCAGGGGCGATGGCGAGTACGGGTCGACCGCGGCCTGCAGGGCTCCATGCGCCGCGCGGCCATGCCGGGCCCCGCCGGGCACCATGACCGCCGGGGCCGCGTGCGGCAGGGGCCCGGGCTTGTGGGCCACCACGCGCGCGTGATGCACCGCCACGGCCGCCGGGGGGGCCTTGCCCGGCACGGGCGCCGAGGCGATCGCACTCGCGGCCGCCACCGGCCCCGGGGCCGGGGCCAGGGGCCCGGCCACCGCCGGGGCCACAGCCCCCGGCACGGTCTCCCGCACCAGGGATGTCAGCTGGTGCAGGGCCCGGGCCGCGGTGATCCGGTGGTCCGGGTTCAGCCACAGGCAGTCGCCCACCAGCCGCAGGAGGTCCCGGTCCAGGGCCAGCCGCGGGAAGCGAGCCTGAAGCTCGAAGGCCAGACAGGCATCCGGGGTACGGCCGTCATCCGGCCGGGCCGGCTGCCCGGCGGCAATGGCCGCCGCCGCCGCCGCCACCTCGCCGGCCAGGCCGCCCACGGGCCCGCCGCCGCGCGTGGCCTCCTCATGCCGCAGCCGGCACATGGTCCCCGGCCGGCGGACGACCGTCCAGCCGCTGGGCCAATTGGCCACGGTGCCGGGCCCGGGGGCCGCCGCATGCGAGCCCGTCCGGCCGGCGGCCTCGGCCGACACGAAGGCCACCCCGGCCCCGGCGGCCAGGTCCCCGGCCTCGGCCCAGTAGTTCGGCGAGCAGGTGGCCCCGCCGGCCAGCGGGCAGCCGAACATCTCCACAATCAGCTGCAGCTGGTGGAGCTCATGCCGGCCGGCCAGCAGCGGCACCCGGGTCAGCACCTCGTACAGCACGCAGCCGGTGGCCCAGATGTCGATGGCCGGGCCGTAATTCGGCGCCCGGAGCAGGAGCTCCGGCGACCGGTACCACCGGGTGGCGATGTAGTCGGTCAGCGGGCGCGGGGCCGTGCCCGGCGGCCGCCCGGGCCCGGTGGTCGTGGCCCCGGCCCCGGCGACCGGCTTGCCGGGCCCCGACTCGGCGATGGTCCGCGCCAGGCCGAAGTCCGCCAGCTTGACCACCACGCGTCCGTCCGGTCGCCGGTTCAGCAGGATGTTCTCCGGCTTGATGTCCCGGTGGTAGTACCCCCGCGAGTGGAGGTAGGCCACCCCGCGAAAGAGCTGTTGGCTGGTGGGACCGACACGGCAGGCGGCCCCAGGCCGGGCGACATGTTAGTATGCCTGGTCGGCGGCATGTGTCCATCCGGGGCGGCGGCGGCGGCGGCGGCGGCGGCGGGGGGGGGGGGGGGGCCCCGCGCGCGGGATGCCACTCGGCGCACCTGATGCTGCGGACCAGGTCCCGCGGGAGGGGCTCGCTGGCCGAGCCGACCGGGGCCCCATCCGGGCCCGGGCGCCGGTAGTCTCGGACATACTCCAGCAGCGAGCAGTCCATGTGCTCGAAGATGAAGAAGAGGGTCTCCCGTTGGTAGGTGATGCGCAGGAGGTGGACGATGTTCTGGCAGCCGGTGGCCGTGTCGTTGGAAGTGGGGGCCGGGGTGATGGCTCGCAGGACTTGGACCTCCTGCTGGGCCAGGCACTCGTCCCAGGATCGGAAGGCCTGCTTCACCTGCTTGATGGCCACCTGGGCGGTGATGGGAGGGGCGTGAGCGTGGTCAGTGCAACACGACGCTCTTCCGATCTGTGGCCGTGTCGTTGGAAGTGGGGGCCGGGGTGATGGCTCGCAGGACTTGGACCTCCTGCTGGGCCAGGCACTCGTCCCAGGATCGGAAGGCCTGCTTCACCTGCTTGATGGCCACCTGGGCGGTGATGGGAGGGGCGTGAGCGTGGTCAGTGCAAGTGGCCCGGGCCCGGGTGAGGCCGGTGGCGGCGAGTCGCAGGCAGGCGCCGGGGCACGGGCCCGGCAGGTGACAGACGCACGGTTTTGTTGGTGTTGCGGTCCTGCGCGGAGAAGACCACGCCATAGGTGCAGGCGCCGGGGCACGGGCCCGGCAGGTGACAGACGCACGGTTTTGTTGGTGTTGCGGTCCTGCGCGGAGAAGACCACGCCATAGGTCCCGCGGCCGATCTCGCCGAGGTTCCGGTAACGTTCCATCCTTCTGGCGAGAGGGCGGGGGCGGGGGCGGGGGGGGG